TTAAGTGTTGTGAAAAGGAACAGCAACGTCACACCATGGTAAGTGCTTCAATGTCCCGACTTTGTTTCGAATGTGTTGCAGGCATCGGAACTGAAATGTGTTTATTTTGAACACAGAATAAAATTGATGAGATATCACATCAAATAATGTGCCTGTAAAGTGTCTGTAATGTCAGAGATAAAGGTATAGGAGACTTAACCAAACATGGAACAAGAATGAAAGATTTGATAAAGGATCTGTTCTGTAGAGGAGATGAAATAATTTACATTCTCTCTCTATTACTGACTTGGATCCAATATTGAACTGGCAATTGGAACCCATCCCGACAACTTGGATTGCATGAGAAGGCTATTTATTAACCAGAGGCATGTTCAAATAAATGACCTCTAAAAGAGGTGAAACTACATGGTGAGCCACAGCAAGCCCACACAACAACATCACTTAGGAAGATATGCCAGAAGAGGGTCATGTGACTGATGGAGCTTGTGAAACTGAAACTAGTGCTACCAAGCTTCTGCACTGCCTTGATTAACTCTATATTGTCTAAGTAACCTAACATTAGCCTAGTTGGCACTGGAGAGCTCTGCATGACCCGGTATAAATGGAGAGTGTACTATATAATGTTTCTCATAATGAGAGAGAAAGCTGGAAATACACAAGCAGAAAAAGGAAAGGCTGACAGACACAGAGGCACATACTGCAGACACTAAAGTGAGAAACTAAAAGAGAAAGAAAAGACGCAGGGAACCCTAATGGTCACACACAGTAAACAAACACTGCCCCACAAACAACAGCAGCCACTAATACTAAAAGAACTCCCGTAGTTAAAACAACAATTGCTTCTGTTTTATTAACTGAGCTAAAATGACGGTGAAAGCAGCCAGCCACAGTCTGGATCTTTTCCACCTGAATTTTGCATCTTCCATAAACAAGGTCTGGATGCTGCAGTTGTTGGGGCAAGAAGTAAACACATTGTGAAACAGAAACTGTTTGGGCTCTATATGGCTGAGCTTGCATATTCCCCAGGTATCTCAGCAAGTTGTTGGGCTCTGCAACACAAACACAGCGCTTGCTAAGAATAACACAGTGAGCCTGGTCAAAGACCTTAGGTAAAAACTGTTGAGACTTCGGCCCTAGAGCGGAGGAGGACAAGGACCAAAGCTGGCAAACCAAGGAACTGTTCATCTGGCATACTGTTGTTGATTATAAAGCAGACATGATTTTCATTTTCCATATGAAATATAAAATAGCTTATAAGACCAATAAGGGGATGAGCAGAAGAAAAACTTATTTTTGAAAAACTAAACTAGTTCTTTCTGATTTTTTAAACACTTTCTTGTGTGATTTTTTTTCTTGCAGACCACAGGTTCACCCGCACATTTGTTTTCATTCCTTATGAGGCCTTTCCACTGATAAACATTGATTTCCTGGAGACCTACCCCTCATTTACAAGAGATGCAGATGCATTGCATTTCATCTGTGACCCCGGTTTTTATCCGTCCTCTGTATGACCACATCCCCTATCGGGTTTGTCTGCAGAACGGTTCGTTGTTGTGCTGATTCTATATGTAGGCTATATTTCCTGGGTTTTGAGCTTTTTACAATAGGTAGGCTTTGTAGATAAATGGTTTAATTGTGTTTTTCTTCTTATCTCCTACTTTGTTGTGCTGTAGCCTAGCATAGGGCCAACAGACAAAGACTACAGTTAACGGTTAAATTTAACAAATTTAACATTACAATGTTATGAAACTCAGATCAAAGATTTTTGGCTGTGTTTTAGTTGTTAAAAATACATTTATCCTCATAATAATTTCATATGTTTTACATACAGTGCGGTTGATGTTGTGATGTGACTAGTTGGTAGGCTCTAACCAATTAATGATGTGTTCAACCTAGTCAGCAGCATCTCAGAACCATCCAGCATCCATCAGAAATAGAATAGATCTGTATCTTTAACAAAGTGATGCGGACATCTGTATATGGGGGCTGGCTGGAGATGGAACAAAACATACAGTGCTGGGAACACAACCATTGACTAGACTCAACCATTGACTAGACTGGCAGCGATCAGCTCTGACAACCACGTTGTAGATAGTACACATCACACATCACATCCCGTAGAAATTAGGGGTAACTATAACTTTAACCATAAGTAACACTTGCCTAACCCTAGTTTTTAGCTTAACTTTAACCTATACCTTACTCTAAACATAAACCAATTTGTCCCCCTAAAATTCAATGGGCTAGTCCCAATGAGGACGGCCAGGTCCCCACATTGTGAGTGTGTACACAGGTTTTGGTTCCCACAATACACAACACACACACAAATCTGAAGTATTATTAGAATCCACCAACCGTTTCCAGGGTCACTGGATGTTCACCTTATGTATCTACAGCAGCATCTCACTTCCTGGAGCCAGCAACAAGTTTCCATGAAACGACATGGTGTTCACTGAGTGTGCATGTGTGTGTGTGCACTTTATACTGCGAGAACTGAAACCTGTTTACATACTCACATTGTGGGGACTTAGTCTTGGGAACCAGATGCTAGTAATACAGATGCAGTCATCTTAAATTAATGACTGGCCCATGATGGAACCTTGGATGATCCGTGGTCCTCGCCAGGTCTCCATTGTGAGTGTGACTGGAATTATATCCTGTAGTGAAGGCAGCACCACCAAGTTAACTCTCCTAAACACAATGAGTATAAGCCTGGTTGCAATGCCGTATACTGTATATTTGCCAGGTGGAGCAGTGTTTGTTGTAGTTTATTGCAGAAGTGGACCGATATATGAACCCTTTGTCAATTAATGCAATGTCCAGTGGAGTAAATAATGTAGGAGCTTCCAGACCCACTGAGCTGAGGCTCTCCATGTTGATAGGTTGGCAGCAGCTGCCCTAAATATCAATCAGTGTCCATGTCTGTCTGAGTAATAACAGCCATTTCGTTATGTTTACATGTTCAGACCTTATATACCTTCTGAGATGTCGTGGCACTGGCAGTTAATGCAGGACCATCCTTAGGACAAGCATGGCTAACAACAAGGAGCAAGCTGAAGAAAGGTTTATCAGATAACAGATATGAAGATCTAGAAAGGAAATCTTCCAATACATACTTTTCTTGCTTCTTGACAAAGACAGATTAAAAGAAGATTTTCAGAGACTGTCAATAAAGCACAACTGAAATGACTTGATGAAGCAACCTAAAGATTGGGATAAAATCACATAATTACAACTGTTTTTCACGTTGATATAGCAATACTTTCATTTTCAGTTACTTAAACTGTACTTACTGTATAATCACCTTAATCTTTGCCCTTCCAATGTATAGTTTTCCCTCTCTTTTAGATTTACTCTGATATTACAGCTGGTTGACTGTCACTAATTACAGATGCTCTTTTTTTGCAGTACTCTGGTACTGAAACCAGACCACTGACTTTT